GGGTGGGGAGGGCTGAGACTCAAGCCGGAGACTCTGCTCCTGGGGACCCACGCCCCCCCGGGAGACAGGCCTGGGGTTCTGCCCCCGGGGTTTCCAGAAGGGGCAAAGAAACGAGGCTTCCTGGGCGACAGGACACGAGTGCTGGCCCCGAGTCTGGGCATGGCGGGGAGCCGGGGGAGCCGCACAGACCGGCCAGGGCCTGACTTGCAGGCTGGCTTCTGCACAGAGGCACCCCAGGGAAAGGTGGGCAGACGTCCTGGACACAAGGCCTAGCGGCCGGCCCTTCGGAAGTCCTGCGCGCTGTCCAGTTCCGAGGTCCTTCGAAGTCCACATGAGACACAGTGTCTAATAGGGGCCTCTATTCTCGGTAGCTTACACCGACCTTCCTTAAGTTGGAAAAGACTGGAAAGACCGCACTAGTTCTGTGGAAGCTTCCGGTTTCTAGTTCTGTGTCTCTGAGACGTCAGAATAAACCAGTGGACAGCAGCAGGCCAGCAGCAGGACAGCAGGGATGCAAAGACCCCTGTTCTGCAGAAGAACCTGGTCCCGTTCATAGGCCAAGGCCCAGGTAACTGCTGAGTGACCGCCGCCCCTGAGCCAGCACTCCCTCGGACCTGCCTGGACCTGTCCACCGAGTGCCTGTGGGCAGCAGCCGGGCCTCAAGGATCATCGCTGTTTCCTGGGAATGAAATACCTGCACCAGTGAGTCTGAGGCAGATTTGCAGCCGGGGGGTTCCCTGCGGGGGCCAGACGTGGCTGGGGCCAGCATTCAGGACACCAATGCCCAATGAAGCAAACCCCTTGTTAGACATGCCCAGAATGGGGGGCCGGGGGGTGGCGGGCGGGGGACACACTGGCCCTCTGGAGACCACCAGGCCGTTCCAACCAAGGTCTCCGGCCTCGGTTCCCAGAGGCGGGCAGGGCCGGCCTCTGCTCTCAGGGCCGCAGGTGACCTGGGCGAACTGATCTAAGACACCCAGATCCTAAATAAAAGCAACCTACGTGAACGGTTCAAAACCCACAGGAGGTTTTCTGTAGCTCATGGGGTGACTCTCGGTGAGAAAGCCCGGACTTCTCCCCTGCTGTGGAGAAGCTCCGGGCTGATGATGTTAAGCCTCCAGGAGAAATTAAAAACAAGCTTTTTAGGGCGCTGCCTGGTGGCACAGCCACACTGCAAAGCCAGCTGCAGCTTCCGCGGCGCCAGTTCGATCCCCGGCCCCGGAGGGGACCCCCAGGGTGCGGCAGACCTCTCCTGTTTCCCCGCTGCTCCCCGCAGCAGTGGACGTTGTCGATCTGCCTGTTCTGCTCCCCGCTCTGTCTCTGGGGAATTCCTTCAACCCCTGCCCCTGTGGCCTGCACCCCAGTTCTGTGTGCATCACTACATCCTCACAAAAGCCAGCAAAGCAAGCTCTTTAAAGCAGCCCTGTGCTCTGTGTGTCTTCATCGTAGAGGACAGGTAAGGAGAAGTCGTGGCAGGTGGTCCCCAGGGCAAGGGCGAGGGAAGGTTCCCTGGCCACGCAAGGGAGCAGGAGCTGAGCAGGGAGGAGGCAGAGGACGGAGAAGCCGGGACGAGGCCTGGGGGTTGGGGTGGGGGCGGCCAGAGAGCAGAGACCAGGGAGAAGCTGCCCTGGCGTCTGGGTGGGACCGACACGGTCAGGCCCGGGGCACACCGACTGTCTCAAAGCCCTCCCCATTCAAGGTCTTACACGCTACAGCATGTTTTGTCTTGATGCGGAGATGGTTTGGGGGCTCTGGGGTGACTGCCCTGTGACAACACCGCCACCCTGAAGCCCGAGCTCAGCCGGCGTGCGGCGGGCAGGCACGGGACACGCATCTTCCTCTCCACAGGGAGGCGGGCAGTGCTGTCCACTCAGTGCCCTGCGGCCTCTGCCGGCTCCCCTCCTGCAGCCGCCCCCCGTGTGGCCGGCAAGGCCCCCCGGGAAGGGGGAACTCACACAGGAAGCCCTGCAGGTCCTCGGGGCAGCCGTGGTCGGGCCAGTCTGTGTATTGCAAGTGCCACACGGTCCTCTCCTGCCCGGACAGCAGGTGCTTGACCTTCAGACCCGTGGTGGCGTAGCAGCCAGAATCGGTGCGGAACTTGGTGGTGACCTTGAACTTGCCGTAGGTGGCTGAGCTGTGCTTGGAACCCAGTTTGGGCCAGTACCGGTGGCTCTTGGTGCGGCCGCTCTCCTGGATGGCGCACAAAAGCAGGATTGGAAAAAGTCACGTGGCCTCGCACCCCGAGGGGGAGGGCGATCACCAGGATGGCCAGAACTGTCCTGCACAGACCCAGCTGCCGGCCGGCGGGGGCCGGGAGGGTCTCGGTGTGCACGGGGACCAAGAAGGACCCCGCGACTGTGCCCACACGGCCCAGGGAGCCCTGGGCAGGCGATGGTGCTACAGGGCACCCCCATGTAAAACGGGGTCCTCACCTGCGCACTTAAAATTCAGCTGCACGGCAGGCACACACTAAGTGGGAGTATCAGCTCCGGGAGCGGTCACCCAGGTCCTGCCTTGCCCAGGGCTGCTGACGGCCACAGCGACCCCCGACACTCACTGGCTCCCGGGATCTTCCAGCCAACGCCCCCCGCCCCCCGGGTCTTCCCTGGGCCCAGGCACGCATGCTCAGACACTTGCTAAGTGGGGTCCCTTTCTCTCTCTCTCTTTTATTTTGACCTTTTCCCGTTTTGGAGTGGCTGGAGCGGACGTGGAGGACCGGGTGGCCGAGGACTGGGTGGGGACAGACTATGCCTGCAAGTTAAGTGGT